ATGAAGTGGCGCCACGCTTCTAGAAGCTTATCTCTTATCTCCCCAACCCCCTGATCGTTCTCACTGGCCTCTTCCATATTTGCCAATTGAGCAAATCTAGGCCCACTCCTTCATCCTCTTTTCTATCAGCTGGAGGACCTTTACGTTGTCTTCTCTTCTTTCGAGGCACAGACCACACTCCCCATAGTTTCTCCTGATCCTTCTCCTTATCCCTCCCTTCAGCAGGTGCCTCTTTTTCTACATTCCTTTTCTCCTTACAGTCTTTCTCTAAATGCCCTTATTTGCCACAACCAAAACACACCCAATGCAGTCTCTCATAAGTCACTGGCCTTTTCCACTTGGTCTATAATATAGGCTGGTAGAAGGGGTTCCTTGAGGTTGACTTGCAGTCTTGCACCCCTACTCTAGCATAGCCACCCCAAGATAGCGTAGCCACCCCTAGATAGCAGTGACCTAGAGATGCCCACCTTCATAGCTGAACCAACCTCATTTCCCAATCTTAAAACCAATAATATGGGCTGGCCTCGCGGGCGCAACCCGCAACAAAAGGCAGGGAAACGCCAACCCGTCACGGCGCAGGCTACTTTAGCCCGCACCGTTTTTAACCCGCTCAGCTGCGGACTAGCTTGCGGGTTGGTAGGCTAGTTTGTTTTTTTTTTTTCTGATTTTTTTAATGCATTATATAATATAGTTAGATGATTTTGACCCTTAAATTTCATATAGATATTACCTCATTCATATCATTACATATATAATTAATTAAACACTTCATATATATATGTATAGTTATATAAAGAGTACCGTCCATCTTTTATTTTTATATCCATTTGTCGTTACTATACACGGCTTCGTAAAATTAGATGAACATGTGATTCTCATATAGTCATACATTCTCGGACATAAAAAATTTACTTAATTAATTTGGATAAGAAAACTAGTTAAACTAATTATTTATAAAAAATATATGTTAGTTTTTCTTAAATATCTTCTAAAATTATAAATTAATTCTCTTTTTTTTTGTTAGAACCCATTATTCAAGTTTAAAACTCAGAGCCTAATTTCAACATTTCAAGCTAAGCCTAACTTATACTAATATAATAGATTTAAAAAAAATTTAGACAGTTGGCAGGCTGGCCGCCAACCAACCTTGACGGGCTCAGGTTGACAAAATGCCAGCCCGCAAGTGCGGGTTATTTCGACCCGCACCGCAGCGAGGTCATCGCCAGTTTGTTTCCCAGCTCTATTCCCCATTGCCTTTAGGACGTCCTTGTCACAATGCTCAAGGGGTAGATCAGGGAATCTAACCCACACTAACACTTCTTCAATTGCTTCCGCTTTTGGATCAAAGCTAGGCCTCCGTTGCCTCACAGTCAGGTAAAAATCAGAGATCATCCATGGCCCTCCCAATACCGCACTTTCGTAATCATCTATATTAGTAAATTGAACCACATAAAAATCATTAGAAAGATCAATCACAGCCACTGCACTTTTGTTAGCCCACATTCTTTGAATCCGTTGTTCGATTGTTCTGTTGCTCATTCGAGTTCCATGAATGAGAATATGAATGATGGAAGTGACATAAGAAAAAATTTAACTAACCTCAACATGGGGGAAAAAAAAGACAGAGAGAGAATGAGAAAGAATGAAAAAGAGTAAACTCTAAAAACATTAGAGTCCATCTCAAGTTAACTGCCGCCTCTGAAAAAAAAATTAAAAGAAAAGACAACAAATATGTCAAGTTAACGAATTGAATCTGCATGTAAAATAAAGTAGTAGGAGGATTGGGGAAACGGCATTAAAGATTATTAAAAAATTATTAGTTAAAATCTTACGTGTTCAATGTCGGTTTGTCAATGCATGTGACCATGTGCCATATATTTCTCCTGAGTTTACAAATTTGATTGAAAAACTTTAAATCTTTAGAAGCTTCCATGGACATTAATTAATTTTGTCACAAGTGGGCCAGACTCGTTTAATTTAATTTATATAATGATACTCCTCCTGTTTTAAATATCGGATTTTTTTAATTACATTACAAAAAAAAGTATTATATTTAAGTAACTTATTATAAATTTGGTAATGTATGTTGATGATATTTTTGAATGTCTAATTAAAACAAAAGGCACTAAGTTTCGAGAAACTGGGGCTTAATAACGTAATGCGAGGTGAGTCATTAAACCATTCAAATATTCAATCGGTGATCATTTAATTGCCATGTCTGTTACGGAAACTGTGATGGCTTTTTAATATTTTAATTGTGAAAAGTCCAGGCATTGAAATATTATAAAATTAGAAGAGGCGGGGCGAAAAAATAGTATTAAAAAAGAGAAAGAAAAAGGAAAACGAGAACCTTTCTAGAAGGATTGGAGGAAGGAATTGAGGCGAGGATGGAAAATTAAAAAGTGGGACCAATAGGAAAATACAGGAATCATGGAGGACCGGCAACTAGCCAGACGATCCACATCAGGATGAAGTGGAGCCACGCTTCCAGAAGCTGATCTCTTATCCAATATAATAGAGTTGGTAATATGAGTTGAGCTCACTAACCCATCAAAAAGTGACGGGTTAAGTTGATAAAAATGGTGATCATTTTGAAACGGATTTTTTGAGCTTGTAACCGCCAAACTCATAACCGTGGTGGGTTAACCTACAAGATTGTCAGGCCAGCTCGTTTTATTTTTTTTTTATTTTCTTTTTTAACGGAACACACCGTGTAGGAGTCATGAGTTATGATTAAACACTTGACACATTATATTTGTGACTTTGTAGTGTTGTGCAATTGTTAATTTGGATTTATGTTTTAATTTGGGTGTTTATTATATTATTTTGGATGGATAGATTATGTAATCATGTTTAATATAATATTTTGAGATATTTTTATTTTGGTTTTAAATATAAGATTCAAATCCACTTTATCTCTCATATTTAAATTGGTAGCCCATATTACCAGCTCTACCAGTACTGTTTTCCTAGTGATTGGATAAAATTTTTTTCCCAAATTTTCATGCAATTACCGGTATACGAGCATCAAAATGGCACTGCTGCTGTAACAACTTGATAGTTGACAATTTTATCATAAATTAACATGATAATACTACTTTTAATTCTAATTATCAGAACCAGTTAACTAATTTGAAGAAATTAAAAAAAATAAGTTAAGTTAGTTATTTTTAATAAATAGGTGTTGTCTTTTCTAAAATATCTTTACTAATCAAGTGTATTGGTTAAAACTATAATTATTAGAAAAACTATTTTAAAAAAATGTATAAATATGAGAGACAAAGTGAATTTGAATCTTATATTTAAAACTAAAATAAAAATTAAACAAAATCTTATATTAAAGATAGGAGGTAATAATAAAATCCAATATGAAAAAATGAGAATAAAATACGAATATATGAACAAAATAATTATTTATGTGTATCCTTTTTCTTGTTTTTCCTTTTTCCCCTTGGACGGCCTCATTAAAAGCATGGGGTTACAGAGAGAATATTAGAACTTGGAAGATTGTGGTGATGAGCACCAAAGGCTCATTTCTCACCCGTCCGAAACCGGACACTTCAAATTTAATAATTTTAATTAATTATTTTTAAATCAAAATTATTCTTAAAAATGATAGTTAAAATTTTTTTTAATTTATATTTTATATTATTTAAAATAATTATTTTAAAAATGTAAAAAAAAAAATCCAGACCCTAACCGTCAAGATAAGAAAAGTTTTAAAAGGTGTTTAGATAGAAACTAAACCATATAAAAGAGGTTATCTCGTTTTATAAAAAAATATTTCTGAAATCACCATTTTAAAAATACCAAACACCCATTTAGATGCTCATGCTCAAGATAAGCATCCAAAGCGTGTGTGGGCAGAAGCATTTGACAGTAGAGAGAGGGAGAATGGATAAGGATGAAATTTAACACAAACAGGTAATGCCACGTTGGCCTATTGGTGACTAGTCAACCTCACTGTCCTCTCCCATCCTGTCATAGTGTCGTCCTCGTTCTTTCACTTCCTCCCACTACCTTTTTCTCCAAGAAAACTTAAATTAAGTTAAATATAAGAGAATCCCATAAAAAAAATAATTGAAACTATTAAATCAAAAATAATATTTTTATAAAAATATATTATTATTTATAAGTTTAGTGTTTTGAAAACCTACATAATTAAATGATCTAAGATTTAGTAATTTCAATTTTGTTATGAAATTTTTTCCGTTAAACATCCTTAAATGTGTTTCTAATTTTGCATTAATATTAAGCAATAAATAACATTCATGTCAAAATGTTCTCCACACAAAGTATCATCCATGTTTCACTAGAAGGCTGTCCAATTTAACCTTCAGGACTTATTTATAAATTATTTTAACATGTTTCATACTGATTAAAAAAATCAAAATTTCTTAAAATTTTTTAAAATAAAAAATAAAAAGTATAAAAATAAAAACAAGAAAACAGATAAAAGTTGTTTTGATTTTTTAGTTTTTAAAAATATATTACTGTTTTTGTTTTTTAAAATAATCAACTGAAAACAAATTACCAAACAACTTTTTTTTTATTTTTAAAAACATAAAATTATTTTTAAAATAATAAATCAAACAGGTTCTATATTTTTTTTTTCCCTGTCCTATAAATATGAGCAGGAGTAGATTACTATTGTACTGCTAACGTAAAATTACGCGTATTCTTGGGGCTGCATCCAATTAAATGGTAGTACCCTCCCACGACGAGGGGTCCGGTTCATGCGAACCCCGCATACCCAGGCTCAAGTGGACCAGTCTTCTAGAACATCTTCCACCACAGGCAAAACGCAGTCGACACGTCATCGCCTAAGAAGACCGTCTCTCTCGCTCTCTTGAAATGTGAAAACCGACAGCCAACACACGGTTTTGCTTTCTCTTCCCTACCCATGGCTATGATTCTGCGTCCTTCCCAGCCCGCTATCCCGTATCTGCCTATTACCTTGTGCTCTTTAAATGACTCTTTTGCCCTTCTACCCCTTTGACCCCTATATAATCTTCCCCCATATTCCTTCTCCTCGCATCTCGCGTATAGCTAGTTGAAGATCACAGTCTCACACAATCATACCCGACTATACAATCCTAATTTCCGGATTTGCCCTTTCTGTTTCTCCGATTTCCCTTGTTCGTTTCGCCATGGCTGGAACCCTAAATTTTTCGCTCCCCGCTGTCAGTCCTGTCCGTTCCTCCTCTTCCAACGGCGCGGCTACTTCCTCCGTCAGGTTTCTTCCTCATCAATGTAGGGCTTCGATGCGGTCTTTTGCGACTGAGGCCGGATCTGCGGCTGTCGCATCTCGGCGGCCGGCGAGTCTCTACGAGGTGCTTCGAGTCAGTCAGAACGCTTCTCCGAGGGAGATCAAATCGGCTTACCGGAGTTTGGCTAAGATCTACCATCCTGATTCGGTGCTGCATCGATCGGAGTATGACGATGACCAGGACTTCATCGAGATTCACAACGCCTACGCCACTCTCTCCGATCCCTCGGCGAGAGCGATCTACGATCTTTCTTTGATGGCTGTTCATGGGAGGAGGCGGCCGGTATCGTCGTCGGCGGTTCAGAATGCCTCTTCTGGGTTTTATACGACCCGCAGATGGGAGACGGATCAGTGCTGGTAGAGATTGCCGTTTCTCCTTTAGGAAATTTGTAAGGCCGAGGAAAAGAAAAGAGCGTTATAGATTAGGGGAAAACTGCATTCTGCAAAACACAAAATTTTCAATAGTGTTTTGCGGATTATGCGAAAGAAAAAAAAACAATGTAGGAGACTCTGTAAATTCTACCTCTTATATATATTGAAGAAATATGGATATACGATGTTGTTCAGTGTTATTTTTCTCGACTTCTTTGTCATCTAAATTTGTCTGTATAATCTGATTCCAAGCTGAGGTTTCGTTCCATGATTCTATCCGATCTCTGGACAGTGCTCGCAATTTAAAACATCGTCAAGTGTTCTTCTTTGTTCTTTCCCTGTAATCCGAATGATTGCATCTTTAGCTTGTCAAGTGTTTACTGGAGGGAAATGGGGATGAATTTCGCTCAACAAGGAGAGCATCTAAAATTCTGTTGCTTGACAAACTTAAGCAGGAATGTTATGTAGTAGCATAGTAGCAGTCTGCTGAAGTGTGGATAAAGATTCTTTTGCCCTAATGCAGCAGGCAAAAGAGACTTTGCAGTAGATATAAGTAGCGAATTCTCTCAAGATAACCCTGTGAATGGAGCTTTTATCATTTTCTCTCGTTTTGATATTCCTACATTTCTCTTCATCGGTGGCCGAGTGAGTTGTTGGAGCTGAGATTTTAGGGAAAAGGAAAGACGGTTCTGAATCTCTGATTCTCATGTAAATTGTCTATATGGCAGATTAGGAATGATGGCGTAATTTTTCAGGAGTCCAAGTACAAGGTGCAAAGGCTAATTAACTTTTTCTGGAAGATTATGAGAATTTTCATATTAACTAAATGAGAAAGAAGATTTAATGGAACAAGCCAGTGAAAAAGCGAATCCTGCCGATTTGGAGCTGCCTGG